TCAACATCCGATTTTACACACGACGATTAGCGTTTGCCTCATCACAGCGAGTACAGTATATACCACATCTTCTCCACATAAGAGAAAACTGATGACATCCGTCAACGAGGGTTTACGCCCGTCTAATCGCTAGTCTCAAACATGATTAATAATAGCGGTGCGTTTTAAGGTCCCTACAGCGTATGGGGCGCTCGTTCGCTTTCAGTCAATAATAGCCTCTCCATAGGTCTCAGCATATATACAAACATGCGGTCCCTGCAGTCTGTCGCGCTCTCCGACAACAGAATACGGCTCCGCACTCTGCTTCACGCCGCTCCCCTCACAAACCCCTCTGTTTCAGCCCGTTTCAAACAGTGGCTGATTCTGGTCGTATTATTTTAGATGAAAATAAGGACGCACACAAAAATCACAAAAACAAACAAAAAAAACACAACCACAAAAACTGGAGAGATATGTTCTGGTACTAAACAGCCAACACAATGGTGCTCTCAGGAGCGAGATTCAGGTGAAAAATTTGGGCGAGCGGGACAAAAAGCGAGCCGCTGAAACTTTCAGAACGTCTCGAACGCACAGGGGACGGGGCCACACACATGTTATCATGGTACGTCAAACACATGAGCGAAAAGTGGACGTTTTGCGCATAATACGGTACACCTTTGTAACCGTCTCGCGGCTGTAAACGTTGGCAAACGCCACAACGTAAGGATCAGGCTTGACGCAAACACAAGAGCTCGTGGAGAAAATTAAGGTGGGGTCAGGTAAGTTTCAGAAACCGACACGGCTCGAGTCAAAGCAACAAACAAAGACACAAAATTTGGAAAGGTATTATGGCAGCCAAGAAAGAAACACGCGCCTATCCTTCAGCACTTCTTTCAGAACACCTCACCGCCGAAAAGCAGGCCTGCAGTAACGTAAATACATATCAGAAAGACAAAAAGCTAAACACATCTAGGTTAGCAATACTTACACCAGCCAAGCAACTCGATATTGCTCAAGCTGTTCGGACTTCTTAGTTGTCCACTTTCTTTTTGGTTCTTGAAAGTTTGCTCCGTTACATTTTTCTTTGCGACGCAGCTAGACGATGTTGAATACACAACAAAGAGAGGAAAAACGCGGCCCGCCTGTTGCGAGGGCGAGTCAAAAAAACAAAAACACTGCAAGCACACCCCGAATGACGGCCGCCCAATGAGGGCACGAGAGTACCATTTGGTGCGTGCACGCGATGAAGGCTGACAGACAGGAGCGGCACCATCCGAATCGAATTGGGTTTGCCAAGTTTTTACAGTTATCTACGGGTTCCACAGATGACATCTTTTTTATGAATTTTCTGTCAACAGCACTTAAGACCTATCCCCTGTGTGCCTTGGGATGTTAAGAGCATTCCATGGAATATAACAAAAAGTGTATCTCGAGCCGGTTTCTGAAACTTACCTACCCCACCTTTAAGTAAAACTCCAGTGCGCTTGCTTGCTCTAAGGGCCCTACGAAAGCGGAAGACCTGGTTAATTTTATATTGGTAAGTGGAGCCATTTTGGCTTCATGCACCACTGAACAGGTTTCCAATGCTGTATCCAGTTCTCTTTGTACATCCATGAGTAAGACAGGTGGACATACACTGAGCAGGCTGAGAGGAAGACTGGGGTACAGGTGGAAAGAGTCTCAAATGTTGTCGAAACTTTTTTAAATGCATTTTTAGCTTTAATAAGGACTTGGATGCTCATGTAAGCAGTCATTTTCAAGTCGGAACTGGTCATTATGGTAACTGGCAAATTACATGAATAAGGCTTTATGACAATTTATTTCAATGTTCATTATGGGAAGTCTATGATCCAGTACATTTGAATCTAGATGCTAGAGACTAAAAGCTAAGATCTCTCACACATTGACTATTCTTTTTCTAATCTGTGTCTCGCAAGTCGTCAACATTTTTGGGATAATTATTCAGAGAGCCTCGTAATAATGGAAATGTACAGTATTGTCACAGATCTGAGGCACTGAAATGGAAAGTCTGGCTGTCAATAGAGAACAGATGTGCCAAGATAAGGCGTTACTGAAATCCCTCCTTACTTCCTATACAACAAAGATGTTGCAATAATGTCTTAGTTAGAGACTTTGCGTGAGTGATTAGTTATTCATATAATAAAAGGCCACCTCTTCTGTAAATAAACATAAGTACACACAGGATCAAAACAGTACCTGCATTTGTTCTGAGGTCCATTGGTCCAGGTTGACTGATTTGACTCTGGATATGTGTACTCCCAGATTCCTGTGGATGCCAGCACACCGGATGCACATAAATACTCCCAGATTCCAGGATGCCCATCTTGGACCTGATAAAAGAAAGATTGTGAATCAGATATAGATAGATGTCTGCAGAAACCATAGATAGACAGAAACCCGAAGAAACCTTAAGCATGCACGATCTTGCAGAGACTTCAAGAGCCAAAAGCAGGCTCAGCATTCTTTAACAATGACATAACAAGAGAAAGAGTCAGGCTCCTGATGTGGATCTGACACAGTTCGCAAAACGCCTGTAAAACTCCAGAGAGATGAGCTGCAGGCGGCGGTGAGGGAGAGGCACTGTGGCCGATGAGCTTGAGTAGATTTAGAGAAGTTAGCTTGCTAGTTAGCCACTTAGTTTTGCTAAATGTCAGCTGACTAGCCTTAGCCGGTTACACAGTAGCGGGTTAGCTTAGCCAAGCTAACTAGCGAATATGCTACATTGTTATACAGCGTTAGCGGCTTTTTCTGAGTGGAAATGTTAACTTTGTCTAGTGTCATGGAAAAAATGTCGATAATGTGTAAGTCGCACCTTTCGCCTCGCAGTCGGCGCAGTACTTGTTGTCTTCCTCTCTCAGCATTTTGGACAGGATGGCCTGGTGCTGCTCGTTGAGTTTTAGAGACTTTTCTCTCTCCGAGCGGGTCGCCATGTTCACGACAACTATTGGACCTCCTTGATCAAAATAACTTTACTTTAATCAGTCTTCTATAGAAATACGTTTATGATAAAATACCATAATCAGAGAGATCAACGCCTCCGAGTGGGATATGAAAACACCCGGAACCGGAATCCCCTGTCCGCCCACAGCAATCCTAAAGCTGACGCGGCGGATGCACCTGATTGGACAACAGCTCTGACGTGCTCTGACCATAGGCTCTGACGCACTGAGTTTCTTATGAAGTTTTACATATTCATAAAATAATTATTCTATAGAATCAAACTTTATCCCATCATTTTGACTGGCAAGCCACCTACTGGCTGCCTACAACAAACGTTTTAAAATAATCTTTGAATCCACCACACACAACTGCAGTTATTCCAGTCCAGTTATGCGGTCCAAGTTTATTGAACAATAACATATATAAAATCTGTATACACATGCAATGGACCATTTAGGCATTTTAAGGCTTCAGTGGGTCACAGTACATTTGCAAAACTTTGAATGAAACTAAATGTAAAGACATAACTACAAACATTCATAACTTAGCAATGGCAATGTTTAATCATCAATATAAACTCAAAAATAGGATTGAAGGAAATATGTAGTTAAGAAAATATCTTTAACACTATTGAGTAAGTTAACATGAAACTGAGAGTGTTTTGTCAAATGCATTTACATTTTTAAAAAAAGTTTTAAAATATTAGGTGAGACACACTACATTGAATTCCTAGCCTCATAGCTATCCCAGCAGTGTGGTCTCTCTCTCTCTCTCTCTCTCTCTCTCTCTCTCTCTCTCTCTCTCTCTCTCTCTCTCTCTCTCTCTCTCTCTCTCTCTCTCTCTCTCTCTATACACACACACACACACACACACACACACACACACACACACACACACACACACACACACACACACACACACACACACACACACTGAACTATGCAAGCGGCCTCAAGCTTTCAAACACTGGCAGATGAGTGGTGCTTGAGAAGCCTCGTGCACCACTGCCTCAAAACAATGTTTCCAGGCGGATCTTGAAGTTACTCTCTTGGTGCCTCACTGCGATGCCATAGCGGAGCAGCAGCTCTATGTACGGGGGCCAGAATGTGTTGTCTATGGTCATATAGGGGTCGTGTGGTGTGTTCAGAGCCTTGTTCATGAGGAGCTGTGGGGTTACAGAAGACGGAGGGAGAATAGGGTTAAGTAATGGGGCCATGTGAATCAATTTATAAAGTTTGCAGGCATTTACAAAGAAAGTTC